GGGGGGGGAGGGGGAAGGCGTAAGTAGCAAGCAGTTGAGAAAAATGTATTCATAAAAATGCAATGAATTACTCCTAATACATGGATAGAACTACAATAGAATACAATAGATTTTGTGAATACAATACACCGAGTGCTATGTAGATTCCTCCGTGCACTGAGGGACTGTTTTAAGGAACCAAATAGATGCCATCTTGGAAATATGCTCCACTCAGTACAATGTAAACTCAACCCAGTTTTCCTCAACCTAGGAATGGCTAATAAGGTCTATTAGTCTTCTTCTTGGGCAGAGTCTGACAGCCTATTTTGAACTGAATAACAAAACATGAAGATCCGGCGATTCATTAACGAAACAGAACGAGTCGAGTGAAATATGTAAGTCTTTGATAAGATTAAGTAAATCTGTTTAAATGTTTAAAAGTGATGGTAAAGATATAGCGATGTGCAGGAGATGGAGTCGCGGTAAAACGTGGAAACGTAAAGTGCGCAAAGCGGAAAGTGTACTAATTTATAAATCAGTAAAACGCAGAATAATATTTGGCTAAGATTTCTAGCATAAATCAAAAAATTAAAAATCTCAAAATATCGATCAACGTTGTCAAAACGTTTGTATGGCGTACGATAAATTCATTCAAAAAAATTAAAAATCGGAATCTTGCTTTAAAAGCCTAACAATTTTAAAGTTAAACAGCCGATGGCCTCGGGAAAATCACCAATAATTTCAACTGTCAAGTGGTGTTAAAAGACATGTAAGGAAAGCCTACTAAATTCTTCGATTGCACGTTACGTCATCGCGGCCTCTCGGGGGAGCGTTAGTTAGTTATTTCTCATTAGCATTCATTGTTAACGGCACCACAATGGCCGTCATGCTTTTGTCTTTTGACTCTCTTGGGAATGCTTGCAACCCATTAATCCAATTAACTTTGCATTCGTTATCTTATAAGTAAATTTCTTCAAACAGCAGTACCTATAGTTGTTTTATTTGCTTACAACATTTCAAATTCGTGGCGCCTCAAAACCACTTGTACTCTTGATAACAAAGATATTTTTATTGGCGCTTTCTTCATAGTGAGATTTTAGTCTCGACTTTTTAAAAACCACGAAAGTCAGTCTAGGAGCAATTTATTCATGTCGCCCTGAAGCCTGTTGAACATGTGCATAAAATGGGCATTAATGGGTATTAAACATGGCCGCCGTGTGATAAACGTCCATACTAGTCAAGTGGGACAATTAATAAAGAAAAGAAATAATACTCAAGGGAATGACACATGGTCTAAAATAAAAAAACTTTACACCCAAAGTAATCGGTCTGTAGACCCTTCTAGCTTAGGTCATTGTTATACAGTGTAAGACCAGCTGTCATTCTATATAGTATTATTCCTTTGTTTAATGGTTGCGCAAAAGAAGACACCTGAATCTGGATAGAACTCAA